CTCCTATGATGCTGCTTAGCCTGCTGTGTTCATCCAGCTCTGCACCTTGTTGTCTCTGATGATTAATCGTGATGGTTTGATGTTATGCGAAGGTTTAATCCAAGAATTTGAATTATTGTTTCTTATAGTATTTGATCTCGGACCCGTGGCTCTTTAATTGTAAGTCAGTCCCCACTCTCTCCATGCTTTATAATTGATCTGTAGCCTTGCCTTGGTTGGTATTTGCTCAGGATCGGTTTGACTTCTGAGCTCGCGGTGTTACGCTTCTCTTTCACTGGGAAAGTCTGAACTTCTTGTAAGACCTTTGAGTTTACGCAGGCCATTCGCAGTGTCCAGGTTTTCCTTTCCACGAAGTTGGAATCAGGCTTCTGTCACTGAGTCTGTAGAAGACTCCAGAGACTCCCGTTTTTAAATAATCGCAAGTGGGATCTAGTTTCGGCAGACCTAGACCCCCATCTCTGTTCTCATCATATAAAAGACTGCCTGTTGCATGTTGGAGGGAGATATAGGATCTGGTTATGTTACAGATTACTTGATCGAGTTTACAAAGTGTATTTTGTGATGTTTCAATAGGGATCGAGTGGTAGTACAACCTTGGGATGGTATGCGTTCACAAGGCTTTGATATTCTGCATCGGTCTCAGTACAGCAGCGGCTGCCACGTTGGATTCCCAGTTTTTGAACTTCACTTCCTGGTCATTTTCTGTGACGCTTGTCCATAGGTTGATCTGGGCACCCAGGGATTTCTCCATTTCTCTTGGGGAAATGTATTCAATTGTATTTCCTCTAAGTCTCCAGTTCTCTTTGCTGTTATATAAAGAATGTCTTCCCTTTATAAATAAAATGGAAGGCTTTGGTCTTGGAGACGTTGATTGCGAGACCGGTGTTGTCACAGTTTGTCTCGACAACTTTGAGGTTTCTCTCCATCCCGGCGTGCAAGTTACTTAGGAGGGCAATGTGGTCAATGAAGTCCAAAGCGGGGGGATTGATCCTTTTGTTGTTAATTGTCAAGGCCACTCCTGACTTTGCTTCGTCAGGAGTGCTCATCGGTGCATCCAGTGCGATGTTAGAAGTATTGGTGATAAGGAGTCCCCCTGCTTGACTCCCTTTTCAATTTTAATCGAGTCGATTTTTATTTGGTATCGTTCAATAACAGTTGTATCTCGGTATATAAATCTTTGAGTTGTATGATCTTTTTGTTAGGTAGACTTTTTGTAGTGTTTTAATGAGTAGTTTATGACCAACAGAGTTGAAAGCCTTCACAACAGATTAACAAATATAACTGCAAGATCCCTCCTGTTTCACTTAGCACCTTTCATAATGTTCTCTGGAACTGTGATATTTTCATTGCAACCTGGAGTTGCTGCTAGAAAGCCCTTCTGTGCCTTGTGTAATCTCTTAGTCAAGATCTTAATAAGTACACATAGGCCTCTAATTATCAATATGATTCAAGCATTCCTTCTGCTTTTGGAATGGGGACAATTCGCTCTTTTTTAAGGGAGTCTGAAATTGTGTCTGTTTTCAACCTAGGGAAAAGAATCTCTTTAGATATGTTGTGTTTCCATTGTGGATATCCTGGATATCTCTCTCGGTCCTGCTGTGGTCGTGGGGGTCTATTCCCGTTTTAACTTCTTCTTCCTCTATAGGTTGCATCAATTGACTGTTGTTCCTTAGCCTGGAATATTTTGCAGATTTGTTTAGATTTGCCTTGTTGTTTGGCACTGATTATTTTGCATGGAAGATTTGTTTTAGCTCTTCTTTTGAGAGGGGAAGTTGAGTTATGGCTGGTGCCTCCATGATTTGGCAGGTCAGCTGGTTTACATAAAATAATTGAGTCTCTCTATAACATGATTTTTTGGTTGCCCATTTTTTTCTTTGCACTGGTGTTCTTCGTACCTCTCTCTTCCCCGCATCTTCCTATCTTTCCTACTTTGGGCATGGCATTCTTGTTCGAAGGTTCATCTCCATTCACAAGAAAGTCAGTGATGTTTTCTATAAGGTCCAATCCTAATGCGATGACTTCTGGG